AACGGATGACGAAAGATTTTTGAATTGATTAACAGAAGGAGATGTGATGGCTGAAGATGCGCGTGTCAAGTGTGAGCAATAGAACAAAATTTTTATGTTACCTTGCAAGCTTTATAAATCAACAAAATAGTTGAAGTATCAAATCTTGCTCGTCGTTCGACTTGTCACTTGTTTAGTCAAGCCCAAGCCTGCAAATAACCTTTAAGGTTATACTGCAAAAAAGTTTAAAGTCAAGACGATACATCATAAAAATAATTTAAATAACTATCAACATTGCCTATACTTTGAGATATTTTGGAGTTTAATTTAGTAAAATTTGTAAAACAGATTTATACAACAACAGTAATAAAAGTTTTATCACAATAAATTTTGTCACTAGAGGGCGAAATATGTAATAATTTTAAAAATTAGAACATTTTTTACATTTTTTAGCCTTGTATTTGTTAACATTAAGTGCGTAGAAATGACTTTGAAACCCGAGAACTAAAATGTCTAGTATTCAAGATCATGAAGAGAAGGAACTACCCGATACAATAATTTCGAGAAATGAATTTCTATATTTCTTTTTATTTTACTTTCGTAAAAATGCTCTTCGTTAATTTGTTTAAACTGAACTCTTTAGAACAAAGTCAAATCTCACGAGAGAGCACGTTAACTTGTCTACTGTATCCCCTCTGGAGTGTAATAGACTCACCTATGCAATATACAAAGCTAGAAAAGCTCGAGCTTGGCGTGCGTACCGTCATTCAAAAAAGACAGCAACCGAATGTTGTACGTAACATGCGCACGTAGATACAATGTAAATATCTTTTCATATCAGTCATCCAGAAATGAACTCTAAACAGTGCCTCTGGTCCTGTAGTTTCGGTTTTTAGAGATAACAGAAAATACAGGACCCATCGGTACCTGAGGTTCCTCTAAGCGTAGAAGAAATGTAAAAGGTTTGAAAATGGTCAGTTCGGGTAAGTTTCGTTGAAAAAAAAGTGTTAACATTAGTAAAGTAGTTTTCTATGGCAGTATAAGTTAATTACGTGGTAGCTTAGTTTTAAATCTTTTGATTATCTATTATTAACGCTTGTAATTGATACAAAATAGAACAATGTGCTCCAGAAAACATAAGAAATATATACCGTAGTTGCACAAGACATTGATCGCACGTAAATTTTTGCGTGGATCTAGTATAAAATAAGTTAGGACTGACAACCTACACACAATTAACATTATCAGAACATTGTTTATGTATATAAACATATATATTTTCAAAATGCAAATTTTTTGCTTTACTGTTAAATGTTTGATTTTGTAAATTTGAATCCATACTAATTCAGATATATGTCTATGGTATTGTTACGACTCTGTTCCTTTGTTATTTTTCCGTAGAAATTCTTTCCGAGAAACTTCAGCGATACGA